AATAGTTGAAGACTTTCTTAAACTGAACTGTGTTTTGAAATGTTTTAGCATGATTTTGGGAATTATTTTACATCATGGCTTTTTAAGGGTAGTAAGTTTTTTTTTCTTGGATAAAGCTTCCATGAACTGAGTTGAACCGCCCAATATTTTAGCAATATTTACTTTTATCTAATTACATGATAACATATATTCCTGTTTTTATTATTGTTGTTATTAATGAGATTCTTTGCCTTTTCATTTCTGCTTTTAGATATGTCTGGAAGTATTGTACTTTGCAAACTATTCTGGTGATACTGATAGTAGCATCATTCGAGAAACCTGGGCTAGACTTATTGCTCAAGCTCTTTTAAGGGGTGGAGTTGCTGAGGCTTGTTCAGTTCTGAAGAGGGTTGGTTCCAGAGTATATCCTGGAGATGGAGCTGTTTTACCTCTGGACACTTTATGCCTTCATCTAGAGAAGGCTGCACTGGTATATGTTTATCTTTAGCTACTTTCATCTAAAGAGTTATCTAAACTTATTTGATACTCTTGTTCCAAAAAAAAAAAACACTTATTTGATTCTCCTAACTTGAGTTCCATTTTGGTTCTTGTTTTAATAATTGCTCTTTTTTTCCCTGCATCATCTTCCATTTGGTAGGAGAGGGTGGAATCTGGACTTGAATCTGTTGGGGATGAGGATGTGGCAAGGGCTCTTCTTGCTGCTTGCAAGGGTGCAGCTGAACCTGTATTGAACACTTATGATCAATTATTATCAAATGGTGCTATTTTGCCATCACCAACCCTCAGATTACGCCTTCTTCGATCAGTGCTAGTGGTACTTCGTGAGTGGGCAATGTCTGTATTTGCACAGAGAATGGGCACGAGTGCTACTGATGCTTCTTTAATATTAGGTGGAGCATTCTCACCAGAGCAGACAACAGTTTTAAACCGAGGGATTCGAGACAAGATCACGAGTGCAGCAAACAGGTTTCATCATGTTCTGCTTATCGGATATGAACTATGAAGCATTAAATATATTCTTTTTGCTGTAGATTGTCTTGACTTACTGTTGATTAAATAGTTAAATAAAAAAGTTAAGCTGGTATTGTAAATGTCCAAATTGGTATTCTAGGTTTCATCGTGCCTTTAGTGTGAAATAGAATTGGTTCCCCATCTTCTACTGTATCTCCTCTACCTTGGACATTCATTTCCTTCCTCAGAGAATTGTAGCAATCCAATAGCCTCACATACATTCGCCTTTCTGAATTTTCATGGCACATGGTTCTTCCTGAAATTTCTGGTCAGAGGCTTTAAGCATTAATAGTTTTCTACTATTTTACTTCATAAAAAAATTATCACCTTAATGATTTGCATTTGTGTTAACGTCACGAATGGCTTATTGATTATAGTGAAATGTTTAATGTGATATTTAGATTTTAAAAATCTTTAATATGGTACTTAAATTATGAATATGTTAACTAATGTGGTACTTAGAGGGTTGTTTGTTTAACACGTGTCATTATTTAAAGCTAGCTACATTAGAGATGAGTATCACATTAGTTACAAATTCATAATTCAGGTATCACATTAAAAATTCTTAAAGTTCAGGTGTCACATTAAACGTTTCATTATAGTTTAGGGGTCATTCATGATATTAATCCTTTGAATTTAAATCAATTTAGAAGAAAGAGGCTTGGGCCAAAGACATAAATGACCCTCGAATATACCTAACTAAAGTTCAATGTGGCCTTTGAACTGAAAATTTGTTATAGACTGACTATGATAGGGGTTAGATGAGTATATAAATTTAAGTTCGCTTGGTATCATTGGTGATATAAATCCCTCCCATGTAAGCAATCTGAAACTTCCTTTTCACCAAGAAAAAAGTAGAGTGCTGTTTTCTTTATCTTTTTAGATGTGAACCAGTTGTTTTCAGTATTACGTTCCGATGTAAGTTCATTAGTAATGTCATTGACATTGGTGCTTGTTCGTATTGAATGTCACCCTATATTATTTTGAGAGAATCCGAAATACCTAGTTTTCACATGAACTGCCAAAGTCTTTTATGTTTATTGAATGCTATTGGCACTGTTGACCCTAAGACAGAGTAGAAAATGCATGTTAGGGAAATGCTTCGAGTGAGTCTCTGTAACCTGTCTTTCGCTGTAACATGGATGTCTGTGCTGCATTTTCATCTCTTATACCATTGAATTTTTTGGTATTGGTGGGTTGTCACAAAGGATTTAGCATCTTCAGTTTGGGAATTATTTAAATATTATCTTTGATTTTGGTTCGGGATTGCAGGTACATGACCGAGTTGAGGAGGTTGGCCCTTCCACAGGATCGGACTGAGGCTGTTTATAGAGGACTTAGGGAACTTGAAGAGTCTTTAGTAAGTCCATTTTCTTTTGGTCGATTTTGATAATTTGTTCAAAATATGTTGTTGTATGAATAAACATATAAACGTAATATATTTCGATTCAAATTTGCTAATGAACATGAAAATGAATTCTATCTTTCTATTTATTAATTTTAGTCTCGTTCGTGATGTGTACAAGTAGAATATGGAATACTAACTATGAATTAGGATCATATCTGAGCCAAATCGAGTTGATACATTGTCAGAGTTTGAGTTTGGAATATCATGAGTTTAATTGAGTTTAATTTTTTATGTTTGAACTTATCTCGTAATTTAATTGAGCAGCTTGAATTTGGCTCAATAATCAAAATTTGATTTGGTAAATTTGATTAAATTTAGTAAATATTATATCTTTTGTTATTTTATATATATTAAAAATAAAATTTTAATTAAATTCATAAACCTTTCAATTTTGAATATTAAATTATTTGAATTTAATTCAATTTATTATTTGAATAGCTTGAGTTTGATTTGATAATAAATAAATTTATTTAAATTTTTTTTAAATCGAATTTAAGTAACTCATGAGTAATTTTGACTCTTATAATTGAAATATTTCAATTTTTATTAAATTTTTTTAAAGCAGTGAAGTGGATTATTTGGAAATAACTTCCTCCCTTACAAAACATTAATGTTTTACTTGACAGGAAGGATAAAAAAAAAAACAAAAATAAAAAACTTATTAATCTAATTATTAAACTTCAAAAAAAAAGTTTATAAATTTTAACTATTAAATTAACAAAATTTTCATTCCATCTTTTTTTCAATTTTTTATACAAAGTTTTTTCATCCTTTATAAATTTGATGGTTAAGTTTTCGTAGAATTTGACCCTCAATTTCGTTGATCATTTCACTTTCAAATTTTGTCATTTTTTTTACACTTTAAATTTGAGATCAAGTGATAACCATTCAATCTTTGATCTTTTCCTATCATCCCAGTTCCATCTCTTTTACAATGTGTTTAGATTGAAGGGAGAAGAAGAAAAGGAAAGTAAAAGAAACAAAATTTTTTTTTATCTTGTTTGGATAAATATTTAATTTAAAAAAAAATAAGGTGAAAACTAAATAATTTTTTATTTTTTTTGTAAACTTAATTTTTTTAGTACATCAATTTAAAAGAAAGCCAGAGAAAGGAAAGTTGAAATTTTTTTTATTTATAAAAGACTATTATATTCAATCTTTTTATTGATACTAAAATTTAATAAAAAAATATAAACAGATCACAATCATCCTAAAATTTTTTTTAAATCTTTTTTTTTTAAAATAAGTTTCATATATATCTTCCAATATAAAAAATTTTTATAATTTTTTGATGATTTGATTTTGATGAATGATTAAATATAAATAGATATTTTTTTTTATTTATAAGATATCAGACTAATTTAAAATTCATTAATGTAAAATAATTTTCTGTTTTACTTGATTAAAAATTATTGATATAATAAAAATTGTAAGATCAAATAAGATAATAAACATATCATAATCTAAAATTGTTTTTAAATTATATATAATAAAATATTATAATTAAAAAAAATTATTATAATAAATCATTTTCATTTTTTTTACTTTTTTATCCAAACAGTGATCGTTATACTTCCTTTTATTTTTTTTATTAACTTTAATTATCCAAATAAAAATTACATTAATCATTTTCTTTCTTTTAAAAAACTATTTTTTCTTTTTCTTTTTTTTATTAATATTTATTCAATCATAACATTGCTGACTCGCTTGTCCACCTCCATCTGCATTTCCTTTCTCGTGCTCAGTGTTTGAAAGTTGAGACAGAGCACCCTTATTCAAACAAGAAACAGCAACCGCCTTATAACATTTCTTGCCTTTTCTTCATCACATCTTTTCTTCTCCAATTAACTAAAATGGGTTCTGCACTTCTACAATTTTTTACCCAATGAAGCTTCTTTCATTTCACATGCCTATCTAATATTTCTGTTGAATCACAAAAGCACACCTTATTTCTTTATCACGCTATCTCCATTTCCATCTCCTGTCATTGTTCTGAAAGTTGAACAGAGCATCTTTGCATCGAACAAGCAAGAAAACATTGATTCAAATCTCTCTCTCTCTTCCCCATTTCGTCATCCTCTATCATCCCATCTCCTTTCTTTTCTCTCTCTTTCATATCCCACCTCCATTTTCTCGCTTATGATCAGTGTGTGAAAGTTCAAACAGAGCATCTTTGCCTCATGCAAACAAACTGATTAAGAACTTTTCAGTACTGTTGAATTAAATGTTTAATTTACCCCCAAAAAAAAAAAACGTTGCCAAGAAAACAACAAGCATGGGAGGAATATAATGGCGTTGTCAAGGAGCAAAGATGATGCCATGAGAGTAGAGCTTCATAGTTACTGCCCCAAACTAACGTAGAACTAATGGTTTTTTTCTTTTCTTTTCGCATATTTAAAGAAACAAGAAGTCTGAAAACCTATCTAAGAGAGATAGGGGAAGTGCGAATTTAAAATCATTGGGGTGAATTTTAAACATGTTATGAACAATTAGCACCAAAAACTACTGTGTAATTGAAATAAATCAATGCATAAAAGAAACAGCAGATAGTAAATAAGGAAAAAAAAAAAAAAGAAAGTAAACCAAAAGGTTTGAATCTTAACGGGTGTTGCTGCTCTTCATGATTTAGTTTCTTCTGTACATAAATGCTGTTTCAATCTTAACAACCATGCAATGCATACAGAGCAATTCTCATAGGCATTGCCGACATAGCAAAATTCATTGTCAAATATTCGTTTTCAATTATATTTAAATAATAATAATAAAGAAAGGCTTGTAGGTGGCATCTCAAATATATAATAAACCATTAATTTTTCATTCTACCAAGAATGAAGCAAACATTTGAAGCATAAAAATCATTTCCATTTTTTCATGAAGAGTGTGTGGAAGAACCCAGGCAGGGGCAAGAGGGAATCAACTCAATTAAGCCAGTTATACGAGAAAAAAGAAGCTAAGAATATGAGTTTTGCTGCCCTTCATGATTTAGTTTCTTCTGTACATAAGCAGAAAGTGTTGACAACTGAATCCGGCAACCGAGGCTTGAAACCTTTCTTTCATACCTGTTCATTTCCCTTCAAAATATTGTACTTGCAGAGGGGGCATGTTGCATTCATCTTAAGCCATTTCACAATGCATGTTGAATGAAAATGGTGGTTACAAGCGAGAGCATGGAGGTCCACACCATCTTCATAAGAGCTTAGGCATATACAACATTCCTACAAAAAACGAAAATAAAAAAGGAGAACAATGGCAAAGCAATCACGCCATCCAAATTCATAACATTTATTGGTTGTTCCGATTCAAATAAATTTTTGAAAATCCATAATACTATACATTAACCAAAATAATCAAACCGTTATCACCCTTACATAAGCTAAAACATTGGAAACAAATAAAATAGATATATATGAGAAGAAATCCACTTACACTAGTATAAGTCTTATACTTTTCTTGACCCTTGGATTAAAATAGCTAAAATTAAAAATATTATTTTAATTCAAATTAGTCATGGATTTAATTTCGATCTAATAATCAAAAAAGTGTAAGACTTATATTTGTGTAAGTAGAGCCCTATTCTCTCTCTCTCTCTCTCTCTCTCTCTATATATATATATATATATATATATATATAAAACAGTGCAAGAAAGAAACGTGATGGATCAGCATCATTGTCAAAAAATTATAGTAATTCCAAGATAAAGTTGTAACTTACAGCATCCTCAGGTAAGAGAATGCGCTCATTTGCCAAATATTGACCGCTTGTTTCTATGGGAACCATTTTTCCTGCCCCCACACTAGGCTTCTCACCATTGTTTATAATCTGAAATCTATATTTTGGAAGGATACTAAGATCTGCTTCTGATGCACCTTCCTAATCAATAACACAAGAAATGAAAATGCTATTTAGCTATTACCACTTTGTTTAAGATTTTTCAGTCAGTATAACCAATAAGTGCTGTTTAATACCTGCCCTGCAACAGCATAAAGAATTGCAATGATGCACGGCAAGCAGCAGCAGAGAGCAATCCCAATCAAACATGCCAAAATAACACAAAAGATTGCAAAGAACACATCAAATGCTAGAAAAACCACAGCCAACCTGCAGATGTCACAAGTTAGAGATTGTGATTGTATTTCAAGGAGACAGTACCATAGATTAATTGTATTAGCGCGTGACGATAACTACTGTGCAATTTTTCAATAACTTGGCAACTGAAGGTAGAAACTCTTATACACATTTCTGACACCATCAGGGAGGAAGTCCAAATATTTTATTAACAAGCATGTCACCTAAACTGACAAATAAATTGCTTGTAAAATAACAGGTTGGTTAAAGACATACCAGTATAAACGTGGAGCATTTTGCAGAAGGATATCGCCACCAGAAACTACCCAATAGAAGCCTACTATCCACCAAACAAATGATGCCATGGTATTCACTGATTCACATCGTTTAGTTACACTGTCCATTCAAAATCAAATCAGTATGAGAATAATAATTAAATCATCCTAAATTACAGTTTCTAAAACAGAATATAAATGCAAACATAGATGGAAAATACAAGAAAGAGGTCCACTCAAATGATAGAATGGTAACAACTTAGCAGCTTGGTCAATTAAACAAAATAAATAACTATCTATAATAAAATTTAATGCTAGTAGAAAAGTTGGTAGATGAGTTAGGAGACATAAACTAAGTTTGTAAAATTACAAAATAAATAATAATAAAAGAAAGTCTGGACTTGGCTCTCACATCTTTTCAAACTAACTTAAGTTATTTATTTGAGTTAAATTTCCTTTTTACTTTTTAAATTTTTTTCTGTATCAAAATTTATGAAATTATAAAAATAATTTATTCATTTTTTCACTCACACAGTGTGTCATGAGCCAACCTTGTATAGGGCCATAACCGGGGCTTAGGTTGTCATGAGCCACCCATGTATAGGGCCATGACCGGATAGATCTCTTGTGCTAGGAAAAGTGTCCCCATTTCAAACATTGTAATGATTAGTGGTAGTATAGCTCTAAAATCTCTAAGGCTCTTTAAGGGGTGAGTGGGCAGCGTACTGTTAGGTTGTCTCACCGGTCGCGATATGGGCCTAAGCCATCCGCCAAGGGCTGCCCCCCTGGCCCTGGCGATAGTGGGAAGTCCCGATGTATTATCCTCGATTATAATAAAATTCACCTCTGACTCGAATGTCCCGAATGTTGCCTTGATGTGTTTTTTTCTTTTTGTCGATGTGAATGTGCCTTCTTGTGTGTGCTTGAGATTAATCTCGATATGAATGTGTCTTATTGCGTACGCTTGGGACTAACTGTGGCTTATGGTTTTTTGTTCAGATATCGAACTATTGAGGGCTGAATTAGGTGGGAACGTCCATTCAAGTACCGCACGATCTATTGCTTGTTGAGAGAAAGCCTAGTCTGTGACACGTGATATCAGAGCACAGTTGAGAAGTGCTAGAAAATGGAGGAGATGGCCACAAGTGGTGGACCCAATTATCAACAGAGACTTGAGGAATTTGAGGCCGCAGTGGCAGCAGTGAAAACTCACATGGTGACTAAAGATCGATTGAGCAAGATCGAGACAACCCAGCGGGAGTTGTCCGATACTCTCCACAACGTGAGCGAGGAGGCTAGAGATGCCTTGAATGTTCTCCAAAAGGAGTTTGAGGAGATCAGAGCACAAGTGAGCATCATACAAATGGCTGTGGCCAGATCGAGTTCGAGCTCGACGAAAAGGAGAAAAAGGGCCAAGGTGCCAGAGCCTCGATGCTATGAGGGGACAAGAGATGCCAAAGAGCTTGAAAACTTCCTGTTTGACATGGAACAGTACTTCCGAGCTGTACACACGGTGACTAAAGATCGATTGAGCAAGATCGAGACAACCCAGCGGGAGTTGTTCGATACTCTCCACAACGTGAGCGAGGAGGCATCTCCAAAAGGAGTTTGAGGAGCTCAAAGCACAAGTGAGCATCATACAAATGACTGTGGCCAGATCGAGTTCGAGCTCAATGAAAAGGGAAAAAAGGGCCAAGGTGCCAGAGCCTCGATGCTATGAGGGGGCACAAGATGCCAAGGAGCTTAAAAACTTCCTGTTTGACATGGAGCAGTACTTTCGAGCTGTACACACGGATTCAGAGGAAGACGAGGTAGCAATGGCGTCGATATACCTCACAAGGGATGCTAAACTATGGGGGCGCTCCAAGTTTGTCAATGACGAGTGTCCGATTAAGACTTGAACGGACCTGAAACAAGAACTAAAAAATCAATTCTTCCCTGAGAATGTGGAGTATATGGCCCGAAGGAAACTTCGAGAATTAGTGCAAACAGGAACAGTGCAAGAGTTTGTTAGGAGTTTTTCTACCCTGATACTGAATATTCAAAACATGTTCGAAAAGGACAAGATGTTTTATTTCCTTGAGGGCCTCAAGCCTTGGGCCAGGACAGAACTACAAAGACAAAAAGTGTAAGACGTAGCCACGGCCATGGCTGCAGCTGAACGTCTCCATGATTATAATGATGGCTCCTCAAAACGAAAAAATCGTCCATCAGTTGGCAGTAACTTCAACTTTGGGAGTGGGGGAAAGATGACTAGATTGGACCGGCCCTTCAGTGGGGGATCAAACAGGAGGTCCTTTGGTCGAGATAGCACCCAACCCAAGACAAACAATGCAGTGATTTTCAAGCCTAGGCAACCACTAGCTTGCTTCCTATGCAAGGGGCCGCATCGGATGGCCTAGGCCCGTATCGTGACCGGTGAGACAGCCCAACAGTACGCTGCCCGCTCACCCCCCAAAGAGCCTTAGAGATTTTAGAGCTATGCTACCACTAACCATTACAATGTTTGAAATGGGAACACTTTTCCTAACACAAGAGATCTACCCGGTCATGGCCCTATACATGGGTGGCTCATGACAACCTAAGCCCTGCTCATGGCCCTATACAAGGTTGGCTCATGACATCCTCCCCACCTATTCTATCGACGTCCTCGTCGACTTGCTAGCTTGAAATTCTTCAATCTTCCTCTTGAATCTCCGGAGGTCGTGTTCCCTTTCCCAGCTGGTTTCTTCTAGTCCTAATCCCTCCCACTTCACTAAGTATTCACGAACTAGTCTTCGAGATACCTTGGTTTCCCTGTCGGCTAAGATCTCTTCGACTCGACGCTTTGAGGGTGGCTTCATGGTGATGACGGCTCTGGTTGGCTCCATTCGGCTAGCTGTAGGATCTGTATGGAAAGGTTTCAGGTTGCTCGCATGAAATACTGGGTGCACCTTCATCCACTTTGGTGGGTCGATTTTGTATGAAGCATTCCCCACCTTGGAAAGGATCTTCACTGGACCCTCATATTTGCGCACTAATCTGCAATCTCTCTTTCTCAAGAACCTGGTTTGTTCAAGGACTAGTCGAATGAGAACCAAATCACCAACTTGGAATTGTTGCACCCTGCGACCTTTGTCCGCCCATTTCTTCATTCGCTTCGATGCTTTCTCTAGGTAGGCTTGTGCAATCTCAGTGTTTTGTTTCCAGTCCTTGCCGAGGTTGAAGGCTTTCGGATTCTTCCCTCCATATTGCTCCAAGGAAGTATGGGGTAGCCTTGGTAATTGTCCGGTAACCACCTCAAACGGCTCTTGTTAGTGGAAGAACTTTTGTTGGAATTAAAGCAAAGCTGAGCAACGTCCAATAACGAAGGCCAGTTCTTCTGATTGGCTTGAACAAAGTGCCTTAAGTATTCCTATAGTAATCCATTGAACCGTTCCGTTTGACCGTCGGTTTGAGGGTGGTAGCTTGAAGAGATGTTAAGTTGGAACCCCAATATCTTAAAAAGTTCTCTCCAGAAGGATCCCGTGAATCTCGGATCTCTATCGCTTACAATGTTTTGAGGGAGGCCCCAGTATTTGACCACATGTTTAAACAGTAGTCGAGCTATGTCTTTCGCAATACAATATTTATGAGTGGGGATGAATGTGGCATACTGAGAGAAACGATCAATCACCACCAAAATAGCTCCAAGATCACCAACCTTGGGAAGGCCCGAAATGAAATCGAGAGAAATGCTTTCCCACGGTCTAGCGGGCACCGATAGTGGTTCAAGCATGCCTGTAGGTTTCTTTTTTTCAACTTTGTCTTGTTGGCAAATGAGGCAAGTCTTTGTATAGTCCATCACGTTTTGTCGCATGTGAGGCCAATAGTATCCCCGTTTCAATAAAGCCAAAGTGCGTTGCCAACCCGAATGTTCAGCCCATAGTGTGTCATGACATTCCCTCGTCAGCATCTGTCTCAGACCCATCCTGCTCTTGGCACAAACAATCGGGGCCCCTTGGTCCACAAGACCTCATTTTCTTATCAGAAGTACTTAGACTTCCCTTCTTCAACTAGCTTTAAGATGGCACTAGCCTGCGGGTCCTTCCCTAAATGATCTTCAATTAACTTGCGAATTTTTAGCTAGATGGCAAGAATTTTTAGCGGTGTTCAACTTTTGTTTTGAGCACACCGCTGGAAAGACCAATCAAGTGGCCGACGCATTGAGCAGACGAACAGGATTAGCAGCATTTAGAAGAATTGCCCCAATGGCGGCTAGCAAAGTCACGACAGACATTCGCAAGTTAATTGAAGATCATTTAGGGAAGGACCCGCATGCCAATGCCATCCTGAAGCTAGTTGAAGAAGGGAAGTCTAAGTACTTCTTGCAAGAAAATGGGGTCTTGTGGACCAAGGGGCCCCGATTGTTTGTGCCAAGAGCAGGAGGTCTGAGACAAATGCCAACGAGGGAATGTCATGACACACCATGGGCCGGACATCTGGGCTGGCAACGCACTTTGGCTTTATTGAAACAGGAATACTATTGGCCTCACATGCGACAAGAAGTGATAGACTATACAAAGACTTGCTTCATTTGCCAACAAGACAAAGTTGAAAAGAAGAAACCTGTAGGCATGCTTGAACCACTACCGGTGCCCGCTAGACCGTGGGAAAGCATTTCTCTCGATTTCGTTTTGGGCCTTCCCAAGGTTGGTGATCTTGGAGCTATTTTGGTGGTGATTGACCGTTTCTCTAAGTACGCCAGATTCATCCCCACTCACAAGTATTGTATTGCGGAAGACACAGCTCGACTACTGTTTAAGCATGTGGTCAAATACTAGGCCTCCCTCAAAACATTATAAGCGATAGAGATCCGAGATTCACGGGGTCCTTCTGGAGAGAACTTTTCAAGATATCGGGGTCCCAACTTAACATCTCCTCAAGCTACCACCCTCAAACCGACGGTCAAACGGAACGGTTCAATAGATTACTAGAGGAATACTTAAGGCACTTTGTTCAAGCCAATCAAAAGAACTGGCCTTCGTTATTGGACGTTGCTCAGCTTTGCTTTAATTTCAACAAAAGCTCTTCCACTAACAAGAGCCCGTTTGAGGTGGTTACCGAACAATTACCAAGGCTACCCCATTCTTCTTTGGAGCAATATGGAGGGAAGAATCTGAGAGCCTTCAACCTCGACAAAGAGTGGAAACAAAACATTGAGATTGCACAAGCCTACCCGGAGAAAGCATCGAAACGAATGAAGAAATGGGCGGACAAAGGTCGCAGGGCGCAACAATTCCAAGTTCGTGATTTGGTTCTTGTTCGACTAGTCCCTGAACAAACCAGGTTCTTGAGAAAGAGAGATCGTAGATTAGTGCGCAAATATGAGGGTCCAGTGAAGATCCTTTCCAAGGTGGGGAATGCTTTATACAAAATCGACCCACCAAAGTGGATGAAGGTGCACCCAGTATTTCATGTGAGCAACCTAAAACCTTTCCATGCAAATCCTACAGATGCTAGCCGAAGGGAGCCAACCAGAGCCTCCATCACCATGAAGCCACCCTCAGAGCATCGAGTCAATGGGATCTTAGCCGACAAGGAAACCAAGGTATCTCGAAGACTAGTTCGTGAATACTTAGTGAAGTGGGAGGGATTAGGACTAGAAGAAACCAGTTGGGAAAGGGAACACGACTTCGGAGATTCAAGAGGAAGATTGAAGAATTTCAAGCCAGCAAGTCGACGAGGACGTCGATAGAATAGGTGGGGAGGATGTCATTAGCCAACCTTATATACGGCCATGAGCGGGGCTTAGGTTATCATGGCCCCATGTATAGGGCCATGACCGAGTAGATCTCTTGTGCTAGGAAAAGTGTCCCCATTTCAAACATTGTAATGGTTAGTGGTAGCATAGCTCTAAAATCTCTAAGGCTCTTTAGGGGGTGAGCGAGCAGCGTACTGTTGGGCTGTCTCACCGGTCGCGATACGGGCCTAGGCCATCCACCAAGGGCTGCCCCCCTGACCCTAGTGATGGTGGGAAGTCCCGATGTATTATCCTCGATTATAATAAAATTCACCTCCGATTCGAATGTCCCGAATGTTGTCTTGATGTGTTTTTTTCCTTTTGTCGATGTGAATGTGCCTTCTTGTGTGTGCTTGAGATTGATCTTGATATGAATGTGTCTTATTGCGTACGCTTGGGACTAACTGTGGCTTATGGTTATTTGTTTAGATATCGAACTATTGAGGGCTGACTTGGGTGGAAGCGTCCATTCAAGTGCAGCACAGTCTATTGCTTGTTGAGAGAAAGCCTAGTCCGTGACACAGTGCATGTGCATAGGGCTAGTGTAGTAGATAAAAATCCATTATACTAAAAAGAAGAATCTCCAGCAATGTACACTGTTCTAAAATGTGAGAAAAGCGAATGAAACTCAAACTTTTCCACCAATATCATCTCTGAGGCTTAATCTGGTTACCTCCCATCCATATAGCAGATGCAGTAAGAGATACACATGCTATGCTTGTGGACTTCCATTATTGTATATCCAAGCTACCCCTGTTGAATTCATGTCTGATCCCTTAAGCCACTGTATCTCCAGCATAGAACCAGTATAACCATTCTATATCCACTGTTCATGGTCAAAAATTAATTTGGGTATGTTCAAATGGAAATTCTCCATAATTTAACCAACTAGGCTCTAAGCATGATTATTGTCAGCATTAAGAAAATCACAATTAAAAGCTTCCCAAGTGCAGTTTTATTGTATACAAAGACAGACATTCAGCTTCTCTTTATCCATCTTAGGTCATTGACTTCCATCAATGTTTTTAAATGCTTAATAATCAGCCATTCAATCATTAATTCAGATGAACATCCCACGTCACCTTCTCAAGCTTGTCCATAACAAAAGAAAAAAAGAGTCATAATTCTATTTAAAATGTTCTACCATTATCCAGAGCTCAATGCTAATTCTTCCGATGGTTATTGGCACTTACGTTTCCCATTCTATGGCTCTGGTTCTTGTATTCCAATCATGGGAGTATTCAAAATGCCCAATGTAGCCAAATTTGCCCAGCCTAGAAACATCCCCCAAGTTTTCAAAATTCCACTCATCTTGAAAGCAAAACTAAAAGGATAATGACACTTCAACCAATTACATTCCCACAAACCATCACAAAGTGATGTAACTGGCATAAATGACAGCACCAAAACAAAACCTTGCAATTCCTTGAGAATTAAGCAGAGACTCAATCGTTAGACACCCAGACGACCAATATCATGCTTAAACCCTTATCTAATTCATCTAAGAAAACCAATAAATCCCAAATTGGATTAAAACCATCATCCAGTTTAGCACCAAAAAAGCAAGTTCATCAAAATTCTAACTTAAAAAAATAACAATTCGTGCTCCAATACAAATTCAATCCAAAAATAAGCTTCAGTCCTCATTCAAATTCAACTAAAAAACTAATGAACCACTCAAAAATCTAAAATTAAACACACAAAAAAATTCCCAGATTAAAATTTTAGCTTAAAAACACAAAACCTGCATCAAAGTTTAAGTCAAACCATAATAAAAGAACTGACCTTGATTGATTTGAACCAAAAGGACTCCTTTGAATTCCAACTTCTTCATCTTCACTATCATTAACGTCTCCAGTATCGGCATCTCCTCTCTCCTCATCTCTAGCAGATGTTCTTCTAGCGTTCCTCCTCCTATACTCCAACCACACCAAAACAACATGCAACAAGCACTGCAAAGCATACCCACAAATCCACAGTCTAATAGGAGCATTAGGCTTCTCATCCACCGTACAGATCAACATCACCACCGACACCGCCACGAATGCCGTATTCCACAGCATGTCGAGCGCCACCACCGGCTTCGAGTATCCCCAGTCCGCCCGCCGCTCCTCCAACTCCCGTGCCGCCGTCTCCCTCACCAGCATAGACGCGCCACGCCGCCTCGTGGCCCGCCCCAATAAAAGCGCCAGCGTGGCAGGGCGAGCAGCCGAGGCATCGGGCTGGCGCCGGCGGAGGAGCGGCGAGTGGGAATCAGACACTGCCGCAGTCGTTTCGGATGAAGGTGTGGAAGACATTGGGGAATTTTATTATGGGGTTTTTAAATTCTCAAAGAGGGTTTAAAAAGAGAAAATGGGCATAATTGAACTATTATTACCAAAAAAAAATTCCTCTTTAATTCAAAAAAATATATTTTTAAAGGGAAAATTATGGAAAATTATTTTTTCAATTGGAATTATGAAGAATAATGTAGAAAAAAGAAAGTAAAGCTGCATAAAGTTGAAGAAGTTCGGAGTTGCTTCTTAGCTTATATTTTAAATTAAAATTATTTTTATTATGATTTAATATTTGGGCAATCGATTTAGGTCAACAGGCCTAGCTGCGGTTCTAATTGTAATATATTTTATATAATTTACTCATTCAAATATTCATGGCCTTACTCTGTTTAAATTATATATGCCATGAATCACGAGAGTTGCGTTGAAGATTTTATGGGATATTTTAATAAGAATAAATGGATTTTCAGAAAATATTTTACCATAAAAATTTTTATTTTTTTTTTTATAATTTTTTCAGCATAAGAAGATGCACCCAAAATAATTTTTTTAGCAAAGATTAATGATGAAGCCATTAGGGCTGAAAAATTTTTTTTGAAGAAATAAAAAATTAATTTAAAATTATAATATTCTGATTTTTTTTTAATTTTTAATGGATCAAACTTTCAGCTATACAGAGAAAGCAAACTCAATCCCTCAAAAGCCTTAAAAAAAAAAAAGAAAAAAAAAAAAGGGGGTAATTCAAACCAACATAATCAGACTGCCATGTTGTATTTTTCCACCTGGAAATTTCGTCTAACAGTTTATTACTCGGTATCAGACAATTGCCTAAGCTTTGAAGTTTGTTTGAACGTTGCGCATCGTGTATGGCAAGAATGGTTGGTAGCAGAAATTAAAGCCCGAAATGAAAGCATATTTATGAATTTACATGCACAACAAGGAATCATAACTTCGTGGGGTTGAGTTCAGTTTCAAAGTATGGACTCTTAACCCTTTTCCTCCACTAACATATACCATCCTCGTTCAATTTTCTTAGTATATAAGAGATTTCGATTTGAAAATTAAAAAAAATACAATTATTATATTTTAAATTTAAATTTCATATATTAAACGTTATTTTTTAAAAATAATTATATGAATCAATTAAATTACATTTTAAATTTATTTTTTGTCTAAATTTTTTCATTCGTTCGATATCCATAATTTCTAATGAAGACCTCAAAGCCACACATATTCTAACCTTTGATATGCAACTAGGGAAATGCCGAAGAGGTAGATTATATGTTGCTTAAATGATTCCTGACAGTCGGCGTACAAAATCAGCATGTAGTGAATGGCCGCCGTGTCATGTTCAAAATTGCAAAGTCAATTGAATGGTTTAAAGCAACTGTGAAAAAGAAAATTTTAATGTTGGTGATATCAAAACCATCACAACCCAAGGTACAATCTTATACTACCTACTGGTGAAGTAGTAAGGCTAACAACAATAAACTTCAAAACAGAAATGTTTTACCAATGCCATGTGTAAATGAAGATTTCACCGACCACACAGCTAGTTAGAAGAAAATTTTTAAGTATCTCAATCTCTATCCAATTTCCTCGGCTCTTCAGAAGAGAGGTCTGCAGGTGACATGCATACTTCGAGGCCACAACTCTTGCTTTCATATCACACGTAAAATTTACCATCCAGTCAGAAGTGATGCAACATTAGCTTTGTTGATGGTAATTTCGGGTGTTTTAACTGAAAAGAACCGGAGAAAGGTTAAAGGTGAAGTAACTTGAACTTGTAGTCAGAAAGTACGATAAGAGGACGCAGATGTTGATTTTTTAGGAGACATTCTAATCCTTAACTCAGTGAAATACTTACGGTTTAAGGAGGAAGAAAAAAAAATGAGGTATGTGGAGAAAACTGCAATAAAAGGAATGTTTAGGTCTTAAAGTCTTACATACTCGATTTTGTTTCTTATCTTATATATAAGATGAAGGATAGTAACTTGATTAAGATAATTAACAGTTAATGATAAGTTTACGTGAAGTTTGATAAGAATTCACGTGGATGATTATAAATTATATTTAATGATCTCAGATAAATATGAACCACATTTAATAATTTCAGATAAATTTAAAACCAAATTTATAATTATAAAATGATGCTTTGATAAGATGCAAGTGAAGATGTTAAGCAAATCTTTCCTTAATAAGGATGGGTTAATTCTTAAAGAGAAATGACGTGACAATTAGAAGTGCGTTGATTAGATGCGTAAAAAAAAATTTAAAAAAATTGATCATATTGATTGAATAAATAAACATAAACACAATTGATTATTTCTTCAAAACTTGCTATAAAAGGCCAGCTATATCAAACTTGATCCCTTGAACACACATCTTGCCCAAATACTTCAGGGCATCACTTACGTTCCTCTTTTTGAAATGCCCATCAATGATCCAAGTATAAACAATAGAATAAGGCATGATTTTTTTCATTCACTATTCTCAAAAACAAGCACTCAACCCTTTCCAACATTCCTTTTTTTGCAAAAACCATCAATGAGTACAGTTTAGGTAACAAATTCAGTGCAAGCTTAGTCCGTTTCATTTCCCTATACAATTCAAAGGTGGCCTCAAAATCTCCAACCACACAAACACCCACCAATCAAACAAGTAAACACAAAGGAATTTAACAACACCCTATCTTTCTTTCATATCCCAAGACACCTTACAGCATGTAAAGTAATAAAATATTTTAAAATTTATTAATTAAATGAACATATTACAAATATAATAAAATTTATTTACATTCTATTTGTTTATAACATCTAAGTGTAAATAAAGAGAATATTTAAAAAATAATTTATGAATATGTTGGATTTTTATTTATTTATTAAACTTTAAAAATGATTTCGAATAATATTATAAATTTTTTTAATTAAAAAATAGATTATGAATATAATAAAATTTATTTATATTCTATTTATTTATACCTGTATTCACTTCACAAAACATATCTCCACCTATTGTAGTTAACCACGTTTGGCAAATAGCATTTCCAAATCAAACCCACATAAACAAAAGCCTTTATTCCTCCCAATCTTACAAAACCCATTAAACAACACTAAAGTAACCAAATCAGGCTTACATTTATCCACCCTAATTTCATCCAAAGCCAAACAAGCCTTAACAACATCACTACATTTAAAATACCCATCATTCAAAAATTATAACTTGCAATATCCCACACAAAGGCATCAAATTTACAAGCTTTTGAGCATAATCAGAATGTCCTTATAACTTACATAAAAAGGTGATGCTTGAATTGAAAGAAGAATGGTGTGCCACAGTCGGAAGCTTTGAAGGTTTTTTTTTTTTTTTTAATTCTATTCCATATTAATTTTTTATTAAAAACTCAATAAAACATCAATTTTATATACAAAATATTGAAAATCAAGATTTTTTTTTTTACTTATAGAATGAAGTGAAATTGGAACATTAAAAATAAAATTGAAATACCAAAATCTTGAAAGAAATTATTTACTTATCTTTTATTAAATGCAATTTTATTTTTTTTATTTTATAATATTATTATATTAAATACCAATAAAATAAGAACCAAGCAAAATCCAAAAAAAAAATTTTCATGATATTCATCAATACCCATTTATATGCATATTAATTGATGTCAGAAAAATCACAACTAGTAATACTTTTCTCAGCCTAACATTTTTAATCAAAGTTGTTAGTTGATCATTTTCACTTGTGGGTCTCAATTTCTCTCAATCCCTTTGCAAATAATTTCTTTTTTACACTTGTAATTTGTTCATCAAGATTGTCCCTCCTACCTATCTTTTTGCTACCTAAACTTTCACATCACCATATCTTTAGGTTTTTTTTTATTGCTAGCAAACAACATAAAACTAAAAAAGTCATATTAGTTTGATGTTTATTTGGTCATAGCTTCTTGCATTTCAACACTTCCCTTTTGCTCAACCCTTTGTTTTTTTTTTTTTTTTAAATTAATACCAAAATGTTTTAAGGCACTAGTAAAAGTGTTAAATCTAAAAGGTTTTGTAAGTTTCTATGTTTTGAATAATGTCCAACTTTAATTCCATTTAAAATATGAATTATGAGTTGATTAATTTAATTGACAAAAGATCATTGGCTAACATGATCGGAAGTAAGGGTGTAAATGAATAAATTTAATAAATAGTTCATGAACAAACTCGATATATCTTCATTTATAATTGTTTATTAAACCTAACAATTAATTATAAATAACATTTTAAGAGTTGTTAATTAAACAAATAAATCATTAGTATAATAAAATTCATTTATATTAGGTTCATTTATAATATAAAAGTGTAAAGTATTCCATGAACAATTCGTAAATATGTTTGATTTATATTTATTTATTAAATTTAATAAATAATCATGAATATTATTTTAAAATTATTAATTAAACGAACAAATCAAAAATATAATAAAATTTGTTTTTATTTTGCTTGTTTACATTTCTCATTCCCACTACATCACATTTGCATTATAATTAAATTTTTAAAAATTAAATCATAAAATAATATCATGGCACGATGAAATATACCTCAATTATGCTGTCAAATGAATTTAAAATAATTTACCTTAACGATAAATAATTTTAGATTCAAATTTGACTGATCATTCATTTTAAAACAACCAAATAAGAAAAGTTAATGTTACAGCTTCTTCTTTATCTCAAAATTTGTTATACCAAAGGGATATGTGGAACAAATAATACTGGTTTGGATAATAAACAGACCAGACCAAGCGAAAAACATGAACGTGAAACATGTGTCTTGACTTCATCATCAACTAATACTAAAACCCAATGATGGCTTAAGCTAGTTGAGCTTGTTTATGTGTTAATAATGTTTCATGATTAGCTTACACCTCTCATTCAATAACTGCCACCACTTTGATCTCTTCAAAGCCCAAACTTTCGGAGCAATGCAAATATCTTACTGCAAATTAAAAATACAAAAACATTGGATGGTGCTCTTTAAATATGCATATCTTCTGGTACATCAAAATGCACTTCCAATTCTCGATTCGTAGTTAAATTAGTTGACGTGTCGAATTGATATTT